TCACTTCTGAAGTAAGAGGAAATATCTGGTGAAGTATTAGGTCTAAAGCAACCTAACACAGCACAATCAAGCAGTTCATCACATTATGTGGCACTAAAATGGCAAAATCAAAAGCAGTAGCTTCTATTGTAACAGTCAGTCAGTAACGCGGTTTGTAAGAAACACATTGCATCTGTCTTTATTTCTTAAATGTGTAGCTTAATATTGATATTTTTGAAATGTTAAACATAAATCAGAAAACACCGAATGTACAGTGTTTCCTTGGGAACCTTTTTCTTTTTTTTTTTTTTTCCATTTCTGAAATTTTTATAATACAAACTCTGCAAAGTTAAGGTAGCATTACCCCAGTCTTTGGGTATATATAATACAAAATGCTTGAACTTCTGGGACAGCAGCTATTTCTATGGATACAGTATGTTGAACAGACATGGAACAAAGAAAACCAAAACAGTTGGTTCTCTGCTGTCAAGGAAACAAGCTGCTCTTTCTGCTTAAATATCTCTTACCAAAACTAGGAGGAAAAAATCCTCCAGAACTCGAGATTGCACTTAAAAAGAAAAAAAATCTGACCTACAGACACTGGAATAAACGTATTTTCAGATATTTCAGTAGGGGGTATTGTTATGTTTGGCGTAGGTAAATAAACAGAACCCCCTGAAAGCCTCTAAGGCTAAGGTTATTCTTAAAGGTAAATATTATTATTATTATTTTTAAATAGTAGGAGTCCAGAAAGAAAATAAGAAAACATTCTGCAGGGTTCTGGTTTTTGTGCTGTACTTGCTTAGATCACATTTGCTTATTCGTGCTCCTGTCTCCCCTCTGTTCCTTTTTTTTTAAATATATATACCTATTCAAGCCGTTAGGAACTTTGTGGTTTAAAATAACGAAAACTAAACCTCATATTTGTTCAAACCCAGAAAATTTCAATGGGTATTTTTCTGTCAGAAGTATTAAAAGGTGTACTGAATAAAACTACTTCATTTGATGAACAGGAAAAATGAAGATTCATGTATGCGTTCTATATGACACGTCCAATATACAAACGAAATAGAAGACAACAGCTACTCAGAAACATGGTTAAGGTGATATGAGAGAAAGGGGTTACAGGAAAAGGTGAAATTACTCATAACACTTAAAATCTTGGCGTCACCTCCTGGTGAGTGACATTCTGGTTCTGGTTGGAATAAGCTTCATCTTGAGCTCCTGCACAACTCTCAGCAAAGCACCACACTAGGAAATAGGTCTCTTCTAAGACAGAAAAGTATCCTAGGAAAAAGGTCTGAGACATATCACATGAGCTCACAGCATTTCTAGATGTATAAGTACACTGAAAATGCCCAGCTAGCTTTGAAACAAGTTCACAGACACGAATCCTTGCGTGTTCACAACACCATTTCTAATTTGAATGAGGGAACACAAATGAGGTTGAAGGTAAATGATCTGTTGAGTCAAAATTGGCTTTGTTTATGAACCACACAGACTTTCTCTGGCAGGTTCCGTAACACCACATGCAGGCTTATATGTATGATGCCTGGATTCTAAGTGTCCTCCCACCAGTGGGTACTCTCCATGACACATGTTCTTATCTCCCAGTAACAGAAAATCAGTACTTCAGCCTTCTGTGAGCAGGACTCAGGGTAAACCCTATCACTGTACTCTTCTTGAGGGCTAAGAGCTGCAAAGGAACCTGGGTGTGTAAAGCAATCTTGTGTCCAGAGATAGCATCTGCCTTGGAAGGAAGTTACAGAGAAGTTCAGTGTATTTGTCCCATTGCATTTAAGTGGTTAAGGTTGATTTTGAAGACAATCATAATGAAGATCCCTGAGCCTTATGAAAAGTGGCCAGAAGTGAGTCTTTTGCCTGGGTATTCTTGCCTGCTATGTTAGCTTCGTCTTGTAGGCAAGGTATTAAGCTAGAATTAGTTTTTAGAGTGTTTGTCTTGAGAAAAGGCTGTAAACATTTTAAAAACACAACCCTTCAGGAACAAGAAACTGATAGATTCAAAAGGCATACTCCGAAATGTTGTTAAAGATGCTACACACAACCCCACTAAAATAAGAATTACTACTGAAGACCTAGTACTCATCCATAATTAACTTCACAGTGTCTTCTTCACAAGTGCATGGATTATAAAATGCTGTATAGTAACCTTCTTATATTTGAATTTTTTGGCTTTTCTTGCTTTGTTTAGACACTATTGTAGCAGAAAAGAGGAGTGGGTTTGGGGGGGAGGGCTAGTTTGTACACTTGTGAATATTTGAGCTGTGTTTAATCATCCTCATGTGTGAAATCCTTTATTAAAAAAAAATCAGTTTATCTGATACTTACTGCTCTTTAGTACAGCACAGCTTGGTAGCACTAGGTACGTCTTGTTGAAAGTATGTCCATAAATATGTCCCTTGCAGCACAGAACAGCTTGTTAACTTGGCAATCCTCAGCAATTTGCTTTGAAAAGTTTGCCTCAGTTTTGATAGTCCAAATGTAGGGCAAAAAACTCTGAGTAACTTTTTTAGCTAATTTTACCAATTGACACTTTCCTCCCAGTTTTAACTGCCTGTTTACTAGAACAGAGAGCACAGTGTTTTTTCAACCTCATTCAATAAGCTTTTTTCTTGGCAAGGTTTTACTATTTTCAGTGAGCTGGAGCTACCGATTTTCTGTTTTCCTAATGTATAATCTAAAAATCCATTATCTTCAGAAAGTATTTATTCTACAGTCTTAGATATATATATATATAAAGCTGGTGCCAGTATTATATAGGGATGATATTACTACAAATTTGCAATGCTGTCAATCTAAAAAGAATTACAAAAGTGGGCAAATGCTATCTGTCCCTATGTCACAGGCAGAATAAGTGGGGCAGAGAGAGAGCAAGTAAATTGACCAGTACCCAAAGGCTACAAAGGATCAGCAGCCTTGAGAGAAGAACAGATTTTTGCATGGCTGGTGCTGTCGCGAATTTCCGCACTCCTTTGTTTCAGTAACACTTTTGGCTAGCTTTGATGGATATCCTTTGTAATAGGAGAATGCAAGTAGGATGCCTATGCTACTTCTATACCAAATACATTAGGCTGGCTTATGGGAGAAACCCTGAAGTGAAAACTCTTGAGTTTATGTTCTAATTTAGTCACATGAAGACTGTGATTGGAGGTACTTCAAAGTGGGTTACGATGGTTAACTAAGTGAAAGATAATATCCCTTTGCCATTACTGTCTAGTAGGTCTCATTACTCCTCTGGGCATGCTCCTTAGAATAAATTAAAAGGATCCACTGAGAACCATTTTGCTTTGGGTTTCTTTTTTAATGATTGCCAAAAGCCATTTGCTAGAATAGTACAGAATGTTTACAGATGCCTTAGGAAGAAAACAGCAGAATGTGGAACTAATTGTGTTTATTCAAGATAATTATGAAACACAAATGACCATTACTTACAACAAGTCCCCTGACAGCTAGAGTTTGACTCATGGGGCCAGGATCAAACTCAGAAAGGAAAGGCCTTAATGTTAAGTTATACTGTCCATATGGACACCATGTATCAGCACTAACTCTTGCAGTTATTGCTCTCGCCCAGTGCTCTTCCACCCAACTTGTGTTCAGTACAGAATAAGCACAGCTGCTAACTGAAGAGGAAAGGCAGGTGGAAATGATGAGTACTTCAGAAGGAAGATCTTGTTGGGGTGAGAAGCTCTAAGAAATGCAACCACAGACTCTTCTGGCATTTGAAGTAGAAGTTCTGTCATAGGAAAACAAACTAGCTTTGCTGCACCCGTAATGGCGTTTAACCTCATCAAAGGATAGGACACATAAAGCAAATTTAAAGACATGACTATTCATTCCACTGTAAAGAACGATGATAGTACTCACTGCATCTGTGTTCATCCAAAAATGGTTTGTCAAGCCATCCCTATATAGACATGTAAAACTGGTTATACATACGTCTTTCTTGCATAAGAGAAAAAGTGGAATGCAGTGTAGAAATTGCAAAAAAGTAGGTGGAGAAGAAAAATTGTGGAAAATTTAATAGTAAGAAAGTTTTAATAAAATGGATGCTAGATGAAGGGAGCTAAATATAAACTGATACCCTGTTTTTTGTTTTGTTTTGTTTTGTTTTGTTTTTTTTTAATGAGACACTGACTTATTTTTTGGTATTATGTATTTAGGTTTTCTCTAATAATACTCAAATGGTCAATATTGTCATTACAGTTTAATTTCATTTACTTCATTCTTACTGCTGCTGTAGTTAAATTGTTTCTGCTTTGGACAAAAAATGAGATATTTAGACTACCAAAAAATTTATTAACATGTGGTTCTCATACAGAGAGGTCATTTATATTTTTAACAGTGTGAAAACATGATGCAGGCTGTACTGCTTTTGTTGATTTTATTTTCTGGCAACATACACAAAATCCAAAGCTCAGCAATGTCCAAAGGAAAAAACAGCAAGTTCTTTATTGACTCTGGATCTTGTTTTCCCATATGGATGAGAACACACCTTGGTAAAATCCTGGCCAGTTGTTACTTAACATACCATGAATGTAACTTATGTTGAATGCTATAAATCAGCATTCAGTGTAGATTTCAAAATTCCAGGGAAAAGGATGGGAGTTAGAACTAGCACACTAATACAGAATTGTTGATGAGGGTTGAAAGCCACCAGCAAATAAATTGTGACTGAAAAATGCCAGCAGCTCAAGGGGACTAGAAGTGGTCTCAGCACACAGGTTGGATCTTAGCAGTCTGGCTCCCTATTAAGTTCCCGTGTTTCAGTCTTGGTGCTTTTTCCTGGGAAAGAAAATCTCCACTTAGCTCAGTGTTTAATATGGCCAGAAGAAATTAGACCAAGATCTGAAATTAATTGTTAAAAATTTTACAGATGGTTTACCACACCTCCTGTGGCTGTTCAATTTCTGAAGTAAGTAATAGTAAGTGCACTCATATTCAGTAATGAACCCCTCATTGTCATTGTTTTTCCTTGCCCTTTTCTTTACCCTCTTCTCAAGGTACTGCCAAGACCGCAGGCTGTTTCTAGAACCCCCAGGTATGTGCTGAGGCCAGGCAGGAGGGACTCACCATGAACAGGAGTCAATTCCCTGGGGGAGAAAAAGAATTTTGAAGGAAAAAAAAAGGAGTGCCAACCAAGACCTTGCCCATCGTGGGGAGCAGGCACAGGCACTCGTCAGCTGTTTGTGGGCATGGCTGTGAGAGAGAGCAGCAGGAGAGCTAGCCCCAGCAGCAAAGTCCATGTGCTGCTGGTGTCCAGGGAAGTGCCCCGGCAAGGTCCCCTCCACCTTCCACTGGGCTCACAGCAGAACCAGAGACTTCTGTCTGTGTGAATGAGTTCACATTTTTTCAGGTGGACTGAAGTGATTCATGGCCCTGGGGGGAATTTGGTGACTATTTTCTTGTCTTTTAAAGGAAAAAGGGAATTAGAAGAATTCATATTTTCTTATGGTAAGATTTCTGCTTTGAATTTTTTCATCTAATGAGTGATATAGCTATAAGAAGGCAAACTGATTTTTAAAGGACTCAGAAGAAACTCAGAATGAAATTTAACATATAACTGTGTCAAGTAAAAAACTTTGATAGGGTTTGAAAAATTTTCCATGGGTTTTCATTTAATAGCTTTAAATAATGTTTTTACTTAGACCCAGATCTTCCTTTTCTCACTGATTTTTTGGTTCAGCCAGTTTACACTGGAGGGTCAGTCCTTCCTGGTGACAACTCTTTTCACTGAATGCTACAAAGACCAGTCTGTGCTGAGTTCACCAGATCCCCAAACCATGTTTTTAGCCAGAAGGAAGCCTTACCTCTGCCCTATGAGTACGCCTTTTTCTATCACTACAAGTATAGGCTGAAGGGATATGTGAGGAAAAGAAGGTGGAGAAGCAGAAGGCAAATGGTATCCTGGGATGAGCAGTTTATACTAGTGAGAGCTCCTTGGATCTCTTGTCCAGTGCATGTGGGCAAGGAAAAGGGTGGGAATTAATTTAACAGGAGCTACAAAATAATAACAATAAAAAATCAACAGTAAAGCTCTCCAAAATCTCCTGATCTCTTAGGAAAGTAAACCCACAGCCTAGTGAGCTTTATCTCTAAATGCACATTTGAGTAGCCTGACTTCTCAGAGATGGCTGTAAACAGCTTTTAGTGATGACATTTAAATGGGAAGAACTGGAGGGAAAAGGGCCTTTGCTTGCCTTCCCTTCCTTGATTGTCATACCTCATAAAGGGTTAATGAACCACCGGCCAGCTGCCATGCCCCTGTAAGCACCCTGCTCTCCTCTTGGCCGCCAGCTGATCCCCTCACCAAGCCACCAAGGTGAGAGTTCACACACAGAGGTGGATGAGGTTAAAGATAATAAGAGTCTAAACATCCACAGGGAGTTCAGCTCATGTACAAAGTCATAATTACATAAGCCATTACCATTGCCCGGGTGAAAAGAAATCACTGCAAGCAGGGGCAGAAAACATTTGCAAAGACAGGCTTAAGAAGCAAGGATGGAAAATATCAGCCTTTCTCCAGTGGATGCACTGTAGCTTTAGCAAGGCTATAAAATGAGAATTGTTTGGTTATTCAAGTAGAAACCTGTTAAATGGATAACCTTGTTGCAACAATTTCCAATTTTTTTAGCAGGTCTTTTCTTTCAACAGGTATTGATGCAAGCAGCCTCTGCTATTTTTATCAAATGCATTTTAGAACCACAGAAAATGCCACTGAGGATTTAAACCCGGAGTAAGCTACCGACGCAGTGTTTGTAGTACACTGCTTGCTGCTTTCACAAGTTGGACAAACCTCATACATTATGGGCCAAATTATGCCCTTGGATGAGTATGCCTGATTCCCACTGCTGTCAATGTGGCTGTCATAGAAATCTGTGGGAGACCAGCTTGCGCATCCAAAGAGGAATCTAGCCTAAAATCTATTGTGCTCATATTCCTTGTTACTTAGATATTTCTCATGTCTGCCTAACTCTCTTTTTTGTCAAGATAAAATAAACACATTTAAAGATATTCTTAGGAAAAAAATAGATAAAAGACCTCTAGTGCTACATTGTTTTGTTTGTGTGTCTGACTGTAATTAATGGATGTTCTTTACCCAAGGTTTCCTTGTAAAATCCCATATAGATGGGTTTATAGAAATCTAATGTTTCTGTAGCCTTTTGAGTTTTGGACAGGCCTGGCTGATATCCCCTAAAAAGTGAGAATACATGGTGATTTCACCCCAAATTTTACTCTGCCAATTCTCAGCTGCATACCAGTGCTGCCCTCCTGAGAAAATACCTAAAACGAGCCATTCAGGAAGCATTCTGCAGCCTCCATGATGCAGGATCATCTCCCTTCTTCACTCAGGTGTCTGGGACTAAAGGATGGAAATAATTTGCAAATATAAATTACAAATATAAATTACAAGGAAAAGGCAGTTTTGGGGTGGGTAGCCCACATGAAACTCATACCTCGTGGATTGCCCATGGGTACTATTGTGCTATTGTGAGGCTGCATGGATGACACCAGGAAGGATAGAGCTAAGTGACAGCTCCTCTGGAGGTATTCCCACTGGTCCCTCTGAACGTCTCAGGGTGTCCCAGATACCTCTGTGAAACGGTTATCAAGCTCTAGATTTACTCCTCTTCGCACAGTTGCTTTGAATTTATTTTATTCCTAGGCAGCTAGTTGGAGTGGTAAATTTTTACATGCATTCAACATTGTCATAGTCATATCTTGCCTGAGGGCATATTGATCCTTGTTACCATATTGACTTGATGCTTCTACATCTGTCAGCAATAGGTCTACACTTTTTTTTTTCTACAAAGATTGCACATTTTCCTTCCCCTGCCCCAAATCTCCTTCCAAAGTCTCCTTTTATTAAGGTTAAGCACTTCTTTCTTTTTTTTTAAAACGCATCTTTTTAAATGATGTGCCCGTGTTTTCTCAGGTAAAGGTTGTGTAATTATTGTGGTTTAAACTAGCAACAAAGACAACAATCAAGCACCACACAGCTACTTGCTCATTCCCCTCAAAGTGGGTTGGAGGAGAGAATTAGCAGGGTAAAAGTGAGAAAACTCATGGGTTGAGAGATAGACAGTTTAATAGGTAAAGCAAAAGCTGTGCACACAAGCAAAACAAAACAAGGAATTCATTCAACCTTACCCATCAGAAGGCAGGTATTCAGCCATCCCCAGGAAAGCAGGGCTCCAACACACATAATGGTTACTTGGAAGACAAAACCATCACTTCAACATCCCTCTTTCCTTCTTCTTTCCCAGCTTTCTATGCTGAGCATGGAATCATATGGTATGGAATATCCCTCTAGTCAGCTGGGGTCAGCTGTGCTGTCTATGTACCCTCCCAATTCCTTGTGCACCCCCAGCCCACTTGCTGATGGGGTGGTATGAGGAACAGAAAATGCCTTGGCTTTATGTAAGTACTGCTCAGCAGGAATTTAAGCATCCCTGTGTTATTGGCATTGTTTTCAGCACAAATCCAAAACATCAGACCCATGATAGCTCCCATGAAGAAAGTTAACTTTATCTCAGTCAAAATCAGCATTTTCTCCACCCCTTATTCCATACCATTTATGTTGTGCTCAGGTCCCACACTAATACATCACGATTAAACACCACACTTCTTCCCATCTTTTGATAGAATACACAGATATCATTCCCCTAGTCTATGGACCACTCCCATAAAATGTCTGCAAAATGTTCAGAAATATCCACAAAATGCCCACTGAGTGCAGCCATCACTGACCTGACCTGACCTGGTTTTGGTACCCCGTAACTCCACGCAGCACACTTCCTCTACTGTTGTGAGTGACCACGGTAACAGATGGAGCCCAAGGTCATGGATTAAATGTACTCAGTGTATTTTCTCCAGTGTGGACTTATTCTTGGGCTGCAATCCCTTCAGAGGTATACCTACTATGGCACAGATATCACCAAGGCCAACAATGCTTTGAGAGGTACCTGCTCCGGCATGGGCTAATTCATGGCCAAAGACACTTCAGGGTGTCCTGTTCCCACATGGGCTCATCCACAAGCCATAGTCACTTTGACTTGGGTTCAGCAGTACAGCAGCACAGCAGCACAGCAGCACAGGAGCAGTAGCGATGGCCTGGCCATCTGCCTGCCCAGGAAAACCACTTTTTTTTTGTAACATTGCTGATATCAGAATGTTCCCAGGCACAGCAGAGTGAGATGATAAGAACTACAGCAGTACAGCAAGCAGCAAAAGCAAAAAACAGCCACTAAGAAGTACTAGATTCTAACATACAGTAAGGCAAGCAAGTCTTATGACAAACACAGGAGCCTGTCAGTTAAAAGCTAAACAGCAGTAACAGCTATAAATTTAATCTAGCACATTCCAGTCAATTCTGTTACCTTGAACCCCTTGAGCCCTATGCTGGGTGCCAAAAGGGACTGTCATGGTTTAACGGGCAACTAAGCACCACTCAGCCACTTGCTCACCCCCCTCAAGTGAGATGGGGAAGAGAATCAGAATGGTAACAGTGAGGAAACTTGTGAATTGAGACAAAGACAACCAGCTTAATACGTAAAGCAAAAACCATAAAACAAAAAAAGTGAAATGAAGAATTCATTCACCACTTCTCATGGGGAGGCAGGTGTTCTGCCATCTCCAGGAAATCAGGGCTCCATCACATCTAACCCTAACCCTTTCCTTTTTCTTCCCCCAACCTCTTAGGCTGAGCATGGAGTCATGCAGTGTGGAATATCCCTCTAGTCGGCTCAAGTCAGCTGTCCTGGCCATGTCTCCTCCCAGCTCCTCATGCACCCACTAGTCGCTGGTGGGGTGTGTGAGAAGCAGAAAAAACATTGACTCTGTATAAGCACTGCTCAGCAATAATGAAATCATTCCTCTATTATCAACACTGTTTTCAGCACAAATATAAATTGTAGACCCATACTAGCTCCTATGAAGAAAATTAACTTTATCCCAGCCAAAACCAACACAACAGTCTTTAACAAAAAGAAAGGGTTGAAAATGAATTGGCAGCAGAACTTCCTTTCTAAATTATAAATACACAGAAAGCATGTTTTGTATCTCCAGAGTGAAAGAAACAAAGCAAAGGGAAAGTTACCTGTTCATTTATAATTAAATCACTGAAGAATAGGAGAGCAGCAACAAATTGGTCCTTGGCAACAGATATGCTTGCAACAGGAGAATGGCCACTGCAATTTCTTATTTTCGCTCATGTTCTCCATGCAATTTCAAATATAAAGGTCACTAGCCAAAGACAGATGCTAAAGTGGGTCCAAAATAGTTTTTGCTTAACTTCTAGCATTTACTTAACTGATTACTAGTTACAAATCTGACACACAGCAGACATAACAGTGCTCTCAAGGAGATTAAAGGATTAGTCACTCACTAGCTTAATCAGATTAATCAGAGATTTTGAACACAATATATAATTCTATCCACAGAGGGAATACATGATAGCCACATGGTAGCCTAATTTGGGAAGGGATACTAGGGATGGGCAGATCCAGACAAAAGAGGGAAATAAAACTGCTAGTTATCACAAGGATTTTTCTATGTACTGCACTTGTAATACTGCTTCGAGACCTTATATTTTCTGATGGAATTACAAATTCACACAATATAACACCAACATCAGATAGTAGCCTACACAAAGCTATAAGACAACTAACATAATGTCCTGATATAAGCTTGGCATACAATAAATATATGTGTGTGTTTTTCCTTAATTTCATATTTGAAATTGTGTATTTAATTTGCAGGGAGAAGTTATTTCTTTTTTCTTTGGATGTCACAGCATCCGGGGTATGAAACATAAACCGTAGAGAAGGACTGTGTAAAATATTAAAAGCTTTGTGACAAAATCAGAAGATGGTATTTGATACCATAAATTATTCTAAAGTAGAAAAAAACAAATCTATTGCTGTTTGTGAGAGCTGTCAAAGCATTTAAACCTGGTTTTACCTGTGGAGAAATCTAGCATTTTTAAATAAAACATATGCTTCTCTTCCACATAGTTTGAATAAAGGGAAAAGTAGGGTGGAATCTCAGCTCATTGAAACTGAAGTTTTCCTGTAGTAGAGGTACTTAACAACTGTAGTATTTCTATGAACAATTAGTGAAGGAAATAATAGACAACATTCATTAATATGAGCCCTGTTTTTACACGTAAAGAAAGAGAGCAAGGAAAAGCAGCATAACCAAGCTATCTTAATCCATCACCCCCTTCTTAATGAAACCCCAGAATGTTCTTTATTCATGATTTTTTTTTTCCATTTTCACATTTTTTTACTTCCATTTCTGGGATAGTGACCACAACAAGTTTCCTTAGCATTTCCTAAGGTGTCTGTCTGGTGTCTGAATCGTATTCCCTGAATTCCAGTCTTCAGAAAAGAAGCACTTTTGAGAAAGAAACAAAAAAATTAATCTCCATGTGCTTCAGGAAAGACACCGTAGCTGGAAGTAGGCCAGGTTTTCACTCTGAAGAATGCTCTGTGCTTGGCAAAGCCCAGAAATGTGTGTCTGCAATGGCTCTTCTGCTAAGATTTTGAGATTTAATAATTACAGTTCTTTAAAGGAGGAACTGCAGCCTAGTGGGAACATAGCAGCTAACAAGGAAAACCCGTGTTACCAGCAATTAAGTGTTTGTTATGCAGAAACTGTAAAAAGAAATCTGAACTCTCAGAGAGAAACACTCAAACTGTGCAATCTGGCAGCCTGCACTAAGGGTCACACGTGCGGTACACGCATTAAATGAGTCGAGGTGAGCGTCTCTGCTACGTGCAGGCTGCCGATGCTCCTTCAGCAAAGAGCAATTCTAGGACCGCTCTTTGCGGAGAGGATTCAACAAACTTATTTACAGGGGTCCACTGAAAGACTCAGCATTTGCCATCACCTCTCCGGTGGCTTCCCTGTTCCCTTACCCATCCTGCCCCAGACCCAATGTGGTTCCCTGCGGCCAGTTCCTCTTCCTCCAGCCCTGGCAGTCAGATTTCAGCCATGCAACCCGTGGTAACCAGCATCCCATCACT